GTAGCTCAGTGGGTAGAGCGCCCGCTCAGTGTTTGGGAGGTCATGGGTTCGATTCCTGTTGGGGACTCAGAATTTTTCTTTGTCCCACGCTCGTGTCATGTTAACTAATTCACCTTCACATTGATTACAACTGTTTGCAAGTACCGAAAATGTAGCTTCTTGACAGGTCTAATTACCTCATCGACTGATTTGTTACAGGCTTATCACCAAGGGCAGATAGGCACATCAAAAACAAATCTACAGACTTCCCTGTCCCCACCCCGCTCACTTTGCTCTCCGAATTCTTCTGTTTCGCACTCGCCGAAATTTTTTTCTGTCCTTGCTGGGAGCCTGTTCGCAGGCTACCTTTCAATATTCAAAGCTGATATGCCTTGTGAAAGACCTTACAGGATCTTCCAAGATCTTTGAATACCTACAAAAGGTCCTTACAGATAAGGATCTTTCAAGGATAATTCCTTAAAAGATCCTTGAAATAAGATTGCAAACATTCCTTAAATGAAAGATGACATACATGTATGCTTGTTGTTTGTCTTGTCATGTATCTTTTCAACATGTGACTTAAGATTGGTCCATGATGTCTTGACTTACCCGGTAATAAAAGACCACCTGAGATTCGCTGTTGCTAACAAGTTCATTGGTGTCCTCTGGGTTGAAGGTGATATATGTCTAGCATGAAAAGAAAACAAAAGCATTTTCAACTCTCCTCTCTACATAAAGTTTGAAAATGTACGGAAACACTGTCTTTTGTGATTCATATAATACCTAGGTCACAGCAGTTGAAAAATTAGCCAAGGGTGTATGTACTAATCCAGATCAGAATCAATGATTCAAGATAACTCAGAAATCAATGAGAAGAGTGGGCAGAGTGGATTCATCGGCTCCTTTGATGCAACAAGATCCAAGTGATCTTGGATCATTGATTCTGATCTGGATCATCCTAAAGAAATGCACCCTAACATAACTAGAGGTTCCAGGAAATACCCACACCCACCCTTAGGTTGGTCATTAGAAATGATTACTCCCAACAATAGTAGGTTTTTAAAACCAAGTATAGTTATGAAATTAAAGTAGATCTTTCAGGGTGTTGGGAGTGGATATTACCCCAGGAAAACTCCTTCAGGAGAGGTATGCATGTATACATGTCCATTTAGGCATTATCTGGACTATCCTCAATAAAAAAATAAAAACAAAGTATTGGTTCTCTATGGTAATCAAAAACATCACAATTAGAGATTCTTGCTGTTGAAGTCAACATCAGAAATTTTGGTTATTTCTTATTAAATTCAAATTGTTTCACCCCTTACCTGTTTCCCAAAGTTGTCATCCAATACAACAGAACACATCGGCATGTCTCCATTGATAGTCCAATCCCACACAGACACAGTCTGGTAAAATATCAAATGCACACTAATTACTTTATTAAATTTTGTACTATTCTTGGTAGAGCCTTCCTACCAGGTGTTTAATTCCCTTTCTTCTCATTACCTGTCTGATAGACACAAGCATTCAAAATAAAGGAGAAGTTTGTTGTCGATCACTTAGTCACAAGAGACAAAATTCAACCCATACCTGTGGAAGAGTGCTGCTTATAGTTGCAATATACTTGGCATCAGGTGACATAGCAATGGCTGCACATCCACTGGGATGGGCCTCAAATATCGTCTGAACTGGAATCCTGTTAGGCAAACAATAAGGAAATAAATTTCTTAACACAACTCCTGTTTACATTTTAACCTGTTCAGATTGTAGCTTGGAGTAGCTCCTTCACTGTATAAGGCATAGGAAGAATGACGGTTCTGAGCTTCAACTTTGTGTGCACCCTTCATCTTGCTAAACCAAGAATGGTGACACCCGAGTACCAAACACTGTATACATATCATGGTGGGTTTGAACACACATAGTGTTACTCATGTACATGTATACAACACTTATAAATTAACATCTTCTAAGTTGTACCTTGAAGATGAAAGTTTATTTTATAAAACTTTTGACACTTTTCACAAGTTTTTGCTGGGTTTCATTTCACTAATGACCAATAAAAAAGTAAGATATCTTGGTGTGGAGTTACTAATAGCAAATGAAAGATTGCTCTCCACCACTTATTGCCAATCCATTTCCACCTTCTTCCCATATTTCTACTTTTTGATTAGCCTATTCTAGTAGATGCCAATGGAAACAAGTTAAAAGGTAAAACATTGAATGGAAGCAATATATAGGATTGGTAAAGTCGTAAATTAATGCTCTCTGTAGCTAATTTGTGACAGACTTACGTTGTAAATGAGTCCCAGATAATAACCATACTGTCCTTGCCACTGTCTGCTGTGGCAATCCACCGTCTGTCTTCACTGACACATGTACAAGTAATGGCATTACACTGAAAGAAGTAATAACAACAAGTAACATCAGCCTTGGAACCCGTGTGGTGGGGGGAGGGAGAGGGTGCTCCCAGAAAAGTTGGGTAGGGGTGTGTGGCCCACTTCCCAAAACCCTTACCCTATTTATGGCCAAAATCTGCGATTTTTGCTACCCTATATGTGACTTGGCCAAAAATATGATACCCTAGTTAGGGCCATTGCAGCTGGCACAGTTGCCTTAAACATACGCTATGAAGGGCTTTTGTTGACGGTCTTATTGATAATAATAATTATAAGAAAGTAGTTTCTTCCAAGAAACATACCCATTTCAAGACTAGAGTGCTAAAACCATACCCTATTTAAGCCCAAAATGGCCAAAATCAATACCCTATTTACGACCAAAACACCTGAAAAACCCTACCCTTTGGGGCAGCACATACCTATATACCCAATATAAGGGAGTACCCACACCCCCAGGCCTTGGAATCAGAAGATTTAAAGTTTAGCCCTTGATTACTCAGCGTCCTCACTACACACAGTGTTTGTTGCCAGAAACTGCTGGGGGAGCCAGACAATTGGGGGAAACTTGTCAGTGAGCAAAAGATTGAAAATTCAAGTGTTGTACTTCTAATCAATTTAAAAAAGAACTAACTTCGCATTTCATTAGTCTCTATTAATCTTTGCTGATATTTTGATGGTTTATATCTATTTACTTTGTTTTGTTTTGTATATTTACTCTTGTACTAAGTTTATGATATTTATGTGTANTGTATGTACTGTACTGTTTATTTATTTATTTATAATTATAATCTTGTAAATTCTTTTAGTTGTTTACAGTAGTAGAAATAAACTGTTGTTGTTGTTAACAAATTATTGTTAGGCATTACACTCACTTAATGTGGTGGCTCCAGCTGAATGAAATACCAGTTAAGACCACTAGGTCTTCAGTTAAGAAGATTTGCTACTTGGAGGAACAAATCCTTTTTTCATAATTTCACTATGGGACTTGTTATGCCAAAAATGTCACTCACATTTCTTAATCTTACACTGCTGAATGGACATATGATACAAACAGTTCATACACAAGAGCAATCCCAAATAATTTACTCATTGTCTCCTTGCAAAACATCCTTCAAGTCAAACCAGCTTGACTTGAAATAATAAGTTTCAGGGACCCTGTATAAGTCATCTTGATTAAATTAGTAGTTCACACATGACAGAAGGAACTTGTTGCAGAAACATCCTCTCCACATCTTTTCCTTTCAAGTTGTTCTTGCTCATTTGTAATATTGTTTAAACTTTATCATAACAGGTAGTAATTGTGATTTCTTAATAACAACTTACATGGCCTTGGAGAAGTTGCTGTTTATTTGCTTCCCAGTCAAACATGACACCAACATGTGCACATATGAAGAATGCAACCTGGAGGCAACAAAAAATCGGTTAAGGTAGGTGACTGATTTTCTCTTTCAAGGTGGCATTTTCCCTAACAGTGACGTAACCCCTTAGACCTGTTGTAACAAGTTGTATGAATAATTTGTACATACATTTTCTTCAAATTTATGTTAATGATCATAAACTGAACTTGCTTGAAAGACAGATCAAAGCAGAGAAATTCTTCGAAAATGGCAAAAGTATTCAGCAAATTACAGCTGATTAATGACCGTGGCTCCCTTTGCAGCTGATTAATGACCGTGGCTCCCAGTGAAATATAATGTGCAGTTCCAGAAAATATCCATATTCCCCCACAGAAGGGATTGGAATTTCCTGGGTAGTGGGAGATTCTCGAAGACCAAAAAATTTAAAGAATTGTATGAAGCCTAGCTGGAATTTCCAGAAGGGTGGGGAGGTCTTACAAAAAATCCCTTCCGTGGGGTAGGTATGGATATTTTCTGGAACTGTGCAATTTCCAAAAAAGCATGACATGATCAAACATGTGCCCGGAGGGTACACGTACCTCCTGAATGACTCATAGTACCAACCTATACGGTCATGTATACTGAAGGCATCTGCACTTGAGTGACATTTGATACATTTGATCGGCCCTCAATCAACCTTCGATCGACATCTCAATCGACATCTCAATCAATAATCTGTCGACACTAGATTGACACTCGATGGACAGTTGGTTAATAGTTGGCAGAGTGTCAACTAATTCATTATGTATTGATCAACATTCAATAGCATGTCCGCAAAAATTAGCCAACTCTCAACTGACTGTCAATCAAGTATTGACCATGTATTGATGGAGATGTCAATCAAGTTTTGATCGAGATGTTGATCAAGTTTCGATTGAGGGTCTCTACTCATTCTAAGCCAAAGTCTTCTCATATATTCAATAATGTTATAACAGGAAAGAAAGTATATTTTACACTAAATAAAGAGCAGAGTATTCATACAAGTTTTGGTTCAATGATCTTAGAGCTCCTGGCAAGTAAACATCAAAAGTTGTGTCTAGTAGATGAGTCAATAATTTCACACTATAAAAAGCAAAAAATTCTTGAAAAATTGTATTTACATTGATGATCATGGTTCCTGACAAAATAGAATTTCCAGGAAGCATACTCTGATCTAGTTCACGAAAGAAAATTGCATGAATAATGTAATGGTCTTTATTTACAAATCTAGCTGGCGAGACATGTGCCTTCCAAACAAAAATTAGCCAATCTTGAGCTTGTTATCAGAATTCTACGGTGTGTGGCCGTATAAGCTTATTAAACTTATATTTGTTTTCGGTTCGCAATTTTTAAACTCCAATCCCGAACAAAAGTAGTTGGGACAGTTGAGCTGGATCACGTACCCCCATCCCACCTAATCAATGTTGGAAACTGTCGCGTTTTTCTCAACAAAAAGGGAACAAAATCACCTGATTATCAACATTGTACAGTGGGGGGAGGGGAGAAGTTGCTTCGTGTCCCAACTTTTTGTCTGGGATTGTAGTTTGATTCTTGTTTTTGTTTGTCTCAAATTTAATCAAACTGGTTGATAAAGTTTCAAAGCAATCACAAATTTAAACACAATAAGCTGATATAAACTCATAACGCTGCCTAACATAGCTCTGTGATCAAGTAACAGGGCGATAAGTCTAAGCATGGTCTAAACTTACCTTTCGACTTCCATTCGATAAATTCTGCACTGGGACATGTTTGTTTACACCGAACGACCAACACATATTCTATTATGAAAAGCAATAACCTTGTTTAGCAACGAAAACATCAATATAGTGAGTTCTAGATGTGCCAAATACTCTTGAATAAGCTTGAGAACTAACCAAAGATGTCGGAGAAGCTTTGACTTCATCTGCTTCATCTTCTTTGTTAACCTGCGAAGAAGCCGCGCTTGAAACACGCGATTGTGCGCCTGATCTCTGTTCCAAATCTCCTTCCATCGTTTATTCCGTTGCACAAAATAACAATTTCCCCAGGAAATTGGAGGAAAATTCAGGAAAACTTATGATCACCTAGAGCTGGGATTCCCGCTCTTTGTTATCGCAACCCTGTAAGTTACTATGGTGAAACTGAGCCCCTAGTACGTACCGCTGGCTAAAACGGTGATCATGTTTTGTAGCGACCAGTAGAGTGTCTTCTTCTTCTTCCTGGGCGACTCACCTCCTTCAATTCTGAAGATTCTAGTGAGCGTATAAATAAAAAACTCCAACCGGAGTATTTTACATCGGCTGTATTTGACCAGACAATAACTGTTACTTACACCTTTCGCTGTTCATTTATAGAAAATATCCATTCATTTGAGTCCAAATTTGTTTCATTATGGTCAATATACTCTCATTAACACTTCTTTTCATGGACTTCTCAAACACGAGGAAAATTAATTGCCGGACTGGACCCGGGACTATAGAGGTCTGGATTACCGGATTGGATGGGACTGGACTGTACTGAACTCTGGAGTGCCCGGAGGAGGAGAAACAGAGAAGGGGAGAATCTGGCCGATAAAGGTGAGAGTGGATCGCGGAAGATGAAACTACGAGTTCAGTCCCTCTTCCGCTTAGTCCGTCATGCGTGACACTAAAGAAAACCGGGAAAAATGGGCACGCAAAATCTTGGGGGCAAGAAGAACGCGAAAATAGGATTTCACGTGGCCATTTTTTCCTCGCGGTTTCTCAACGGACTTAGCAAAAGAGTAACTACTCGTAGTCTAGCGGAAGATTTACGACGCTTTATTTTCAGTTCAATTGAGTCCATTGGCATACTTTGTGGTATCGCAGATTTCTAAAAAACCCAATGGATTTTGTCTTAGTCTCTTTTTCTTTTCATGGAGATAGACCGTCAAGGATGAAGCATCCATACCCCCATGGGGTCAAGGACAAAGAGAAAGATGGGCCCTCTGCCTGAACAGTTCTGATGGTACAACATCTGTCATGCTGGATGGCTACATGGCGCGGCAGCCTCTAAAACAAAGCAACTTCGACTGGTCAAGTTTGATTTGACCAACATCACAGATTTTATACCATGTGACGGTTTTGTGACTTTATTTTTGTACTTTAATTTTCTCTCTTTAATCTTGCACTCATGTCACTGGGTGATTTTGCAAGAATCCAATGTTTATGTAAATGCCCCCACCCCCGTCCCGGTGCACAGTTTTTCATCCAACGTCACAAAATTGTCATGTGACTGTTTCGTAATAGGACCCACTGACTGATTCACTGGTAAAGGTGACACAAATCAAGTTTGCATTGTATAAGCACGACTTATTCATGGCTATCAAAACATAACAGACGTACAAATACACCTGTATGATATTCACATCTTTTTTAATTAGGTCATATTACAGATCGTTAACCAATGTTTTCATCGAATGGGAACTAGAATGGTCCTGTGGATCGCATCATAGCACATCCTTCCACCAACAGAAAAATAAAATGACTTCTTTTTCTAGGGGTGAAAAGAGATGAGCATACCATTGCGAGCCTATTCAAGTTTCCCTAAATAAAATATTTTACCAAAGTTTTATTAAGGTAAATTTCAACTGGTCCTACACAAAGCGTCATACCCAGGCTCTCTCCTTCCTTCACCTCCCAGAGCAAAATACCCTGGGAAGAGATTGTCCTACAAATTAGCATAAGCTTGAAACAGTAAATGGTGGCTACTGAATCTTTTGAAATCAAATTTGACACCAAAGAAGCTCACCACACCTTCTAGATCCTAACGGCATTTGAAGTAAAGACCATTTTAAGTTGAAATTACCTTAAAAAATAAAGCGATTGCTTTATGGAAACCAATCTGTGTGGAAAGGTGATGGTCGATGTAGCTTCAGCAAACTGAAATGTGCCTTTTGCATTCAGTTTCTGTCAATTTCCAACTACTTGATCTACAGCTAATGATACATAAAATACTTTTCCACTTTCCACTTTAATTTTTTCAAACTAGGACTTCCCTAATTTTCTACCCCTAAAGGTTATCACAAAAAGCCTTAAAATAGATACTGCAGATAACTCTTATCAAACTCTTTCCCAGGGTCTTTTTAATCCTCGGGTGTCCGAGTACAGGAAGGCCCTGGGAACAAGGTTGAAAAGTCAACTAGATTTCAGCTTTTGTTGGCTTTCTCTTGGGCACTTCAACAACATCAAAAATAAATTCTGCTGTCATTTTGCCAGACAAGAAGCCAACTAACATTGTACAAACACAGAGCAAGTCCAGAGCTTGTGAAGAACCATCATAAATACCACAAAACTCAAAATCACGACGATCAGCGAGCAGTACCTCATGTCCAACGACAGCTTGAAACAACTCATCTCTCCATGACCCGTAATAAATGCACAGAAGGAATTTTTAAAACTTTTCCAAAATACAAAATATAATATTAATGACTTTTCTCTTTAAACGAGGCTTGCTCTTTTGCGAGATCAGCTCAGCACAGTTCTACTCTCTTCTGAGAAACACTAATCAAGAATGCTTCACTTGGGTAGGCTTTGAGTCTCTTTCTCTATAATGCACTAGTCCTGCATGTCTTCCTGAATTAAAATAACAATTTTCCACATGGATGCTATTTGATGATTTAAGTTTATGAGCTGGAGTCTTGCATATTGTCAACGGCATTCCCACACTTTGATCGTCATGTCTACGCTCCCAGTTATAACAAATGGTGCTGATCTGTGGAAATCTGAAATAAAGATGAACAGAAAGTGTTGAGTTCACAATTCGCCAAGATGACCACAACAGTGATAGTTCACCAAACAATCAACAATTATTGGATGAAGCTGAGCTAGATATCATACTTTGTCAGTGGTGAGCACATCAATTTTTTTAGCCGAAGCCAAAGGCTGGGGCAAATAACTGATATGCGAGACAATGACAAATCACGAAAACCAAGTTCAATAATAATATTGTATTTTCATTTGATCACTAAGTTTGTTTCATATTTAAATCATTCTGTGACAGCTCAGAGGAAGATGTGGCCTAGGCTCAAATGATATTCTAATACTTAAACAATGCTCAAAAGAACTTGGTTACAATATTAGAATATTATTTACAGCAAAACACCTTTAGACAGTACAACACATTGAATGGTAATAGCTGTATAAATTGCAGTTATTAAGATTTGACATACAAACAGGGTGAAAAGTATTGACCCTTTCACCTTGTTTGTATGCCTTCAACAAAAGAATATTTGACCACAGACAACTGTAATAATAGCTACTGTCTGTCTTGGAATGTTCTATTGTTTCGCACATGAGTCCACTGGGTTTTGACTCAAAAATTCCCCAGCAGTCGTGGTAGCTCTCTAGCATCTATGAAGTGTCTCATGGGTTTCTACTTAGTTTTGGATTCACACATGAAAGCAACAATCACTGTTCTGCTTCTCAGGTTTATGTTGAGCATAATGCATCAAACAGGTCACAGATTTTGCTTACAAGTGTACTAACGAGAACAAGAAAGCCACCTCCATAAAGAACAAGGCTTACACATATGATTTTCAAAGTAACTCACCTAAAGTTGTTGCAAAATGTTCATGGGCTGCTAGAGTTTTGGCACATCGTTTATTTTTGTAGTCCCATATTCTAAGAGTTTTGTCATCCGAACAGCTAACTAGATATTTGCCTCCAGGATGAAACAACACGCTTCGCACCCAATTATCATGTCCAACCTGTAGTGGAGGGAAAAATGAATCTATGCAAAGAGCAGACATGAAGAAAGACATCTCAAAACACAAACAAAATAACACTGAAAAGTTTGTAATATAAACCAGGCCAAAGACACCTTTTTTGAACAACGTACCAAAGTCATCAGACACATTCCAGTGCTGGCATCCCACATTCTGATTGATTTATCTCGTGATGCTGACACTAAATATGGTCCAGGATTCCCTCCCCTTTTTGCACCCTACAAGAAAGAAAATAAAGTGTGGAAGATGTCTCTACAGTAGTTCAATGGCTTAACACGCCAGCCTTTCACTCCAATCAGCCAAACACATGGAAGATGTCTCTACAGAAGTTCAATTCCTAAACACTTCAGCCTTTCACTCCAATCAGCCAGACACATACGGTAAACCTTAATTTCTGCAGATATTCTCTATATTAGGACACTAAAAGACACCCCAATCATCAACGTAATACTTCTGTATGAAGACAAGCAACTAACAGGGCACCACACCCATTGCTTTCATCACCATTTCAAGTACAGGTGGATTCCCCATTACAAACTCTCAGCTGAAACGAAAAACAGTTTGAAATAAAAGGAGTTCAAAATAGCCAAGAGTAAATGACTAAAAGGCAAATCCAAGAGAAATGGTTTTGAGTTTGAAATACTGGAGAATTTGAAGTCACTGAGTTTGAATTGGTAGAGTCCAACTGTATGCAGCTACCCTGGTCCAACACCCATTTTGAGAGCAGCAAGAGATGCCCAGAACAACTTCTCCAGAGGGCTAATATATGAAAGCTGTTAAGATCATACCTGGTGACTCACAAAAGAGTACCTGACAGAGCTCTGGCAGATGCCGATTCTTACAGAAAACATACCTCAATTCCTGCAGCCTCAGCAACAAATGGGTTGGCTGATTCTGGAGCCCAGGCCACATCCTCCACCACATGTTCATGATCTCGCAGATCACATTTACATTCCTTTGTTGCCACAACCCACACGCGGATCGTCTGCGGAGTAGAAAATTAACATAATGGTTATCGAGTTTAAAACAAATCTAAAGTTCATGTTTGTGTGACATTTAGTCACCATTTAACAATAGCAGAATAGGCTCTTCATTGATCATTTTCTCATAAAATTCCCTAATTGGAGAAGAACAAGTTGAATTTTCCAGGAACATAATAAAAAACTCTCCCCCACCTGGTCATTTGAACAACTTGCTATCAAGGAACCTGGCAATACAACATGAAAAAAATTTTAATGATGTAACATCATGTAGTACAGCTAAGGTCAGCTTTCTAAGAGCCTGTCCACACCAGTGCATTTTCAAAGCTGAAATACTAGAAAATAACATAACAGGAGAATAATAAATCCCTTATTCAATGGTTTAACATTTATTACGTGAGAACATTTTGCTTTTAGCTCAAACTTCACAACTTGCAAAATATCTGTGCGTATTATATGTTAAACCATTGAATAGGATGTACGTACATGTAAAAAAGTAATGCAACCTGTTTTACTGGGTCACTCACCATCATTGTTAACTCGCACTTTTCTGACCCACTCTCTGTGCCCTTGAAATGTCTTCACACAAAAACTACAGTGTACAAAAAACACTCTCTTAGTTTTAAAAGGCTGGGATCCAGAATTCCCAGGTTAACTTCCTGCAAACCATGATCTCATTCCACTGAATGACAGATATGCCATTCAAACAAAAGGGACCAAGCAGTAAAATAAAATAAATACTGGTTAATAGAGAAAGGAAGCCATATCAGCCTTAGCTAGTTTCCATGCAGGTGCTCCATGCTGGTCGAATTGGAATTTGGCAATGTTGGTTTTTGGGGAGGGAGGAAAACTGCAGATCCCAGAGAAAAGCCACCAGAGCAAGATAAGAACCAACAACAAACTCAACTCACACATATGAAACCAGGCCCAAATGAAAGTGCTGGTAAAGCTGTCTGGTGAAGTCAACACACTTTTACTTTAATACGAGCAGAATGGAAAATCAGACCAGGGGCCTGTTTCGCGAAAGCCCCAGAAACTTTTCGGGCCTGTAAAGCCATTTTTACTTCTTGTATGAAGGGAAACTCTGTTCATATTAAGAATATGTGAGTAAAACAGCTCTGTAATCATAAGATTCGAGATTTTGCTAAGGTTTTCCGGATGCAACAACTTTTCAGGGCCTTTGAGACACGGGCCTCTGATCTCTTTCTTGTGCTAGAATATAGCATGAGGTGTGGTCAAAATTCAAGTTATAATCTTTAATTACAGGCTAAAGAAAACAGGCTTTTAAACATAAAGTAGATACCTACCCTGTGGCTACTTCCCACATTTTTATAGTTTTATCTCTAGATGATGACACCAAATAGTCTCCAGATGGCAAAAACGTCACTGAAGAAACATTATGGTCATGTCCTTGTTGAAAACAAAAATTTTTATACATGTCAAATAAACATGTAATGACAGCGAATGCTCAGTTACTGTGGAAACTGTCCTCGGAGACTTAGGGGTAGTTATTTGGAGTGGGATGAAGTAAACCTTGCAAAACTTCAAGCAACAACTAACCCCAACTAACCCCAACTAACTCCCTGTGGGTCTGCAAGGATGTGTCAAAACATGCTCATTACAACTAATATGAAAATTAAAAGTAAGAAGTGTAAAATGTGGCTACAGAAACAGGCAAAAATATACCAGTACCATAAAACAAGAAGCTTCACCAACCTGTTAATGTTTTGACACACTCAAATTCATGGAAATCCCATAGTTTAATGGACATGTCAGCTGAACATGAAGCTGGAATAATAATTGAAATAAAAATAACAAGCTTCAAGATGCTGTTTCCCTTCAGGGTTTGTTTGCTGGTGGAAATCTGGCTCCATATAAAATGCATTTTCTTCCTTTATTTATTAGTAGTAGTAAGTTTAGCATCATTATAATCATTGTGAAAGTGAAAAGGAAACTATGTGGGTTAAGTCTATTTCTTTAAGATGAGAAGTTTGGTTCAAAAACTAGTCAAAAACCTTTCAAGGACTCAAAAATTTTTTTACAAAATTCTATTATTTTTTTGGGACTGCATTAGAATAAAACATGTTTTTCCTTTGCACAATGTAAGTCTATCTTCAAGTCCAGATTTTTTTAAAAATCAAATCTATGTTTCTGTTCAACAACATCTCACCTAAAACTTTTCCAGTATGATCAAATGAAAGATCCTGTACTGCGTCTGTATGACCCTTTAGAGTCCGCTCAAAATCTCCTGTTTCGTAGTCCCACACTTTGACTGTTGCATCTTCTGATGCTGTTACCATAACACTGAAGGAAAGGAGTACAAAAGTAAATTCACTTCAATCCTTGTTATAATCTGTTTTTAATCAAAGTACATGTGACAAATTTCAGTCCATAGCAGTGGGTCCCCCAAGCTCCGGACAAACACAATTTTATTGGCTTGATTCTTAGACATTAAATGCTGGTTTCATTCCCAAAAAATATCCTTCGCTCAGTTTCTTTATCAAAACCCTTTGATTAAATCACGTCCATATCTTCAGGACAGGGAGAAATTTCAGTGAAGTTCTCCTCTACAAAATGTATGAATGCCAGCTCTGTTCCGACTTTTACTTCAGTTTGCTTTGCTAATATCTGTCAAAGGAGAAGGTCACTCCAAAAAATATATTTTGCTGGCCTAGCGAAGGATGCAAAGTCAGTTGCAGGTTTTTCTCCTTCCCACCAATTTCGAGTCGGACAGAATGACGTCACATAAACACGGTCTGGCTGTACAGTTTCAAAATGACAGCCTTGGAAGTCACTTCTTTCAAACGAATTTCATCACAATGGCAGGCACTTGAGAGGCTGAAACTTTGGTGAGTGAAAAAGCTGAATGCTTACTTGCCATAGGCCTTTAAGGTCCTTTAAGGTCCATTGGTACTGTGATCAAACAGTTTTAGCTATAGATCAACCAATGGATATTTTCAAGAAGGAAAACAGCTTTGAATTGAATCTTGTGTCCACAGAGCCACCTTTACCTGGTGCCAAAGCACACTTCCTTAAAGTGCCTATGAAGTAAAAAATAATTGCTGCTTATTTGAAAGGCTTTTCAAAGTAAAGAAGAATGGCATTTTCCTTTTTGGAATATCTTTCTTCGTTTCAGAGATATTCACATTTTGGTGTTATGCAAATGAGGAAAGTGATGACGTCATAGGTGGTTCCTTTAAAACAGCACAACACTCAATCGCGAATAACTCTAGAAATATTAAAGC